AACAATCATCTGATAAGTAGTAGAAAATATGAGAAAGGAGAAAGATCCATGAATTTAAAGAGGCAAGAACTCCCTTTTGTTTCTAGGGGTCTTTTCAGAGGTCCAGTTGCTGCTGTGGGTTTTAGGTGAGCACAGACCTGTCTCTTCTGGGCTTAGTGGTATGCTCAGCATGTTCAGTCCAGAGTCCCAAATATCTCTCCTCTAAGGTGTTCAACTACATAAAGAGCCACAATTAGGACTACTCCTGAATATCATTAATGACTTTCAACAAATTCTAAGTGTATGCCAACCAACTTTTAAACGTATGTGATGCAGAAGAATAACACACACTATGGAGTTGGAAATGGAAACCATCAGTATTGCAAAGTCCGGACAGCACAAGAGTTGAACTTGAGAGGACTAAAGATAACAATGACTAAAACAACAATGCAAAAATTAGTCCTAATAAGGAAAAGAAAATAATAGCAGCTGTCACTATCTACTGACAGCTAACACTATTGAGTAAATTTACACATATTAACTCAAAAAGGCTACAGGCTCAAAAGACCAGGAAAACAATTGCTGGGCTTGTTGGGTTTTCTCTCTCTCTCTCTCTCTGTCTCTCTAAATGCATGCCTCAAAATTCACACAATAAGCAACATTTTATTTCCCATGCAATCAGAGGGAAACAAAGGTATAGATTACTCAAGTTACTGAAAACAATAACTGGAGTATCATCTTTCTCATTTCATCCTGCTTAAGATGGTATTAAAATGAACTTACAGTTCTTAAGTATATATGAAAAGATGATAAGAAATGGATAAATACAATGCCAGATGCCAAGAAAAGTCAGACTGGGACTTAAACGTTGTTTTGAATAACCCAGCAGGTGGGCCACCCAAATATCAATAAGAGTTATCACTGAGAAAGGATTTAAAATATGGAATTGAGAAGTGTTCATCTTTAGCAATGGAGCATCAATATCCTATCCACTCTAGCACACCTTTGAAAGAAGGGGACAATGAAAGTTGTTGGGAGTAAGAAAATAATTAAGATTTGTACTACAAATTTGTTGGCAGAAATTTTTCGAAACCTAGATGTTCAATAATGGGATTGGTTAAATAAATTACGAAATAATCCATAGAATGGAATCCTATATAGCTTTTGAAAACTTTGTTATAGATCATGATTAATGAAATAAAAAAGCAAACTGTATCACAGTACCTAAGGAATGAATCCATTTTTATTCAAAACTAAACAAAAGTATGTTTACAGGTGTTCATTACACATAACTAAAAAAGATGGGAAAGATGTATTACTATGCCAGCATTTCCCACAGTCAACTCCAGGGGTCACTAGTTCCCCAAGCACTTTAACAAAGACTAAAAAGGGGAACAGAGACAGGGCTGGTAGTTCCCTGGTCCAAGACTACCTAATGTATATTTAAGCTTTCTTGTACATTCACAGCTTTTTCAAAAACTGTTTACTAATGGAATTCTTTTGAGGATCATCTTGGTAGGATTAATAACCAAAGAACATACTTTCTTGAATGCTGTACCAAGGGGTTCAAATGGATTTTTACTGAATGGTAGAACATGAGATAGTTGTGGTTTTGTCAATCAACCTATATTACTTCAGTAATAAGAAAAAAAAAATAGGCTTTATTTTTTTTTTTAATGACTACAGCAACTTCTGAACCATCATTCAAAATGAAACTACAAGATGGATGGATTAACTTCTTTCAGTAAAACTTTACTAGAAAAAATGAACAAAAATGTGGAGATGCTTAATAAAGTCACATTGGCTTTAAAGACCCTTTTCTTAGAATGTCAATAAAACAATACAATTTCAAACAATTAAAACCATCACATCTACATTTCTCAATAATTTAATGAAAGGGTATTAGAAATATCTCCCTGAATTTCAAGCAACAAGTTGAAGAAAAGAAATTCAGAGAAAGATTAACCTTAAAATGAAATGCCCATATTCTGAATAGACTTTGCAATATGTAAGAGAAGGGATAGGAGGCAAAGTTAGGCACAGAGAATCAGTTTTAGTGAACTTCCATTAATCCAACCATCTATTCATTCAAGAAACTAACATTTACTGAGCATCTATGATGTATCATGTGGGGATATAAATATGAAGGAAGCCATATCTATGCTCAAGAACTCACAGTCTTGACTGGGGTGGTGGCAGAGGAAGTAGATATGTGGGGTACATAATGCAAGCTCCAAAAAAGCACTTAACCTGAGGGAAAGAGGATGTGGGTAGATTTGGCAGGTTGTCAGGTAAGGCTTCCTGGAGGAGGTGTCACCTGAGCTGGCAGCAAAAGCATTAGTAAAGTATCAATTATTGGCATATGTTCACAAGGTGCAAATATGAGGATGTTCACAGAAACTAACATTTACTGAGCATCTATGATGTATCATGTGGGGATATAAATATGAAGGAAGCCATATCTATGCTCAAGAACTCACAGTCTTGACTGGGGTGGTGGCAGAGGAAGTAGATATGTGGGGTACATAATGCAAGCTCCAAAAAAGCACTTAACCTGAGGGAAAGAGGATGTGGGTAGATTTGGCAGGTTGTCAGGTAAGGCTTCCTGGAGGAGGTGTCACCTGAGCTGGCAGCAAAAGCATTAGTAAAGTATCAATTATTGGCATATGTTCACAAGGTGCAAATATGAGGATGTTCACATATCTCTTGAGATGTTCACTGCAGTATTCCTTAAAATAAAGGAAAATATGGAAATAAGCTTTATAGCCCTCAAAACATTATAATCTTAATGCCCATGTCATGCTGTAAATAGAAATAAATAAAGTTGACAATCCTGAGTCACTGCCCAGCCTTCACCTGACATTTAGAACTCACTATATGCCCTGACACGCTCACACACCCACACATACACACACACATGGATCAGAAGCACACTGTACATTCAGTCAGCAAATTTGCATCGGAACAAGACCCAGCACAGATCCAAGGACCAATATTTTAGAATCAATCTCCCAGAAGACTTGTAAGAACATTCCAACCTTAACCTTATATCCAACCCAAAAGCAGTTTTAAAGGACAAACTGAACCACATTGCCAAAAACCTAAGAGTTGAAAGAATCACGGGTTCACAGCCCAACCATTTATAGGTGGGCACACAGAGGGCCACTAGGGTTAAGGACTCTGCCCAGGTTCCATTCATATAGCTGGAACTGCAACACGGACCTCCATGTTAGAGCTATCCCAATAAACTACATGGATCGAACTCCTACTATATTTGTGAACAAGTAGCTGAAACACTACAGTATAAATTTGGAAAGAAAATAGAATGAAATTCATTGCCCTATTTGTTTAGACACGAAACCTATCATAATGCATTTATAATTTTTAAGTATTGGTATGCTCTTTAAAAAATAAGGCAAATAATTACAATAATAACAAAAATTTATCTAGCTCCTATTGAAAATCTGGCAATGTGACAGGCCCCAGCATCCATCATCGGCCAGCCATTGAACTAAGCCTTAGGTAAGTAGAATCAATAGCATTATTACAGCACAAATTTTTTAATTATTAAAGATTAAGTAAAATGAACGTAAGACAAACAACCTAGACCGTACAGCATTAAGAACCAATAAATTAAAATGTTGAACATGGGACAAAAGTATTAATTGCTCTATAATTAATATATATAACATCAGGGTTACTTCTCATTAGGAAGCAGAAGACAACATGACACACAATGTAACCAAGGATGACAAAAGCAACTATACTTCAAAGTATTCAGGGGCGTACTTAGCAAAATCTCATGCACAGAGTCCTCTGAGGGTGGATGACTTCTACATAAACCCATGTAGCTCAAGTTTAAATCTGCGACAAGTAAGCAGCCCCATCAGGGTTATGACAGCCAATGCGATGCACACACACATTACTGTAAATAGGTACTTCAAATAGAAAACTCATTATAGAGACTCATTACATAGAAAAGTCTTCCATTAGAGTCACCAACATAGTAACTGTCAATCTAATTATCACGGAACATAGAACATGAAGCCTTACAGTCACAGCCAGATGGGTAGCCAGTAGGTAAATTCCCTTTGGATTCAGTGACTCTAACTTGCAAAGCTATCTTTCTTTAATTACATTACAGGGGGAAAAAAGAAAAGAAAAAAGGTTTCGATTCACGGTCCTCCTAAGTCCCCAAAGGTTTGGGTGGTTGGGAAGAAATGCGTTAACTTGGGTATGGCAGCTGAAACTCCAGAAAAGAAAAAAAAAGCCAACAGTATGGATAACTTTTTAACTTTTTAACGAATGTAAAGTAACAGCAGAAACAGATCTTATTTAATTCCTTTATCAATATTTGTAGACATTCTGTGGTTTATTTTTCAGAAATTGTCAAGAACTATAGAAGTAAATGTAAAGAAAACAGGTAACTCCAAAGAACATATCTAAAACATCACTGTAAGTAAAATTACTACAGCAGCTAAGACTTTTCTTTCTTTTCTTTTTTTAAGTTTTAACTAATGGGCTTTACATGCTTCTTAGTGTCTCCTAGACAAGCCTGATCATAAGACCTACTTGGGGCACTTAAAAATCACAGAAGCCCTGGGAATTCTGATTCTGTTACTCTGGGATGGGATCCACTATTTTAACAAATGCTTTAGGGTAATTCTTATCATTAGGCAAGTTTGGAAATCATGTGTTATCTCATGGAATCCTCCTATCAACTCCACGAATCAGAAACCACTGGTAGATGCACTTGACAGCTGAAAAAACCGAGGCTTAGGGAGGTCACAAAGTGACTCACGGGTCAGAGGCAGAAACAAATACAGATGTGGGAGCTCAGACCAGCAGCTTTTAGCCTGAAGGCAAAACTGCAATTACCAAGTTCTTCTTGCCCCATTAACAGAACAGAAAAGGACACTAACAAACTCAGCAGCATGGACAGCAAAGATTCAGTAGCATACCATCCTTTCCTTACTATCCATCTCATGGTATCTAAGAGAAAGACACTAGTAAAAGCCTATAGTGCAGTTCTGGTACATAATATGAATAAATTAAGACTTTCTTCCTACTTACTATTCTCTAACCCTTCTGTCAATATCCTATACTGGAGTATTTATGTCTCCTGCTATCAGTTGAAGCCAAAGGGTTCCTGGACTATAGAAAAATATATGAAATACATGCTTGGCAGGATTTAGTAACATTTATTTTTAATTTTCTTTTATTTTTTTTCACTTCATGAAAATTACATTCAAAATTTGATATCCAAAGCCCCACTGGTTTCTTGCCTAGGAAAGTCACTTAAAAATTTGCATAACTCCTTTTTAAAATCATAACACCATTAACATAAATCTCCCCACACATTGTCAAACTCCAGCAACACAGTTTAATAGAAAATAATGACAACTAACATTTATTGAGCATCTACACGTATTCAATGATGAATTCTCCTATAAGTCTAGAGGGAGGTACTGTTGGCCCTATTGATCAATAAAAACACACAGACACAAAAGCAGTTAAGTAGTATGTCTAAGGTCACATGGCTATTAAATGGTATCCAAACCCAGAAAGAGAATCACTGTTTCATTTGACTTTCACGATAAACTTGTTCTGGTTGTCTTTTGATGCATAATAAATCACCCCAAAACATTACAGCTTCAGACAACAGTAACTTCATCTTTTACAATTTCTGAGTCAGGATTTTGTACCGAGCACAGAGGAAAGGTCTCTTCTCTGTTCCTTGAGACCTGGAGCTTCCACTGGGAAGACGGAAGGTGACTCATCAGTGAGAGGCAAGCATCGCCGGGGCCTCAGCTGGGCTGTCCGCTGGAAACACCTAGAGGGGCCTCTCCATGTGGCTGCTTGAGCTTCCTCATTGGTTGCTGGCTACATTCCAAAATGGAAAGTCCCAAGACAATCAGGTGGAAGCCATATCACTCCTTTTGACTCTGTCTTGGAAACCTCACATCCCCACCTTCACCATAATCACAACCACTTTCTCTCACCCCGATTCAAAGAGGAGACAGACAACACCAACCCCTACCTCCACAATGTAGGGGCATCCAAATCAGAATTGGAGAACAGTATGTGAAATGGGAGCTATCACTGCAATTTCTGCCACAAACCCTAATGAATATTATAGATGAATCACAGTTAATATTTTAAGTCCTAACTAACAGTGAGAAAATTGAGTTTCGGAGAGGCTGTGTGACTTGCCAAAGTCACATAATTAATACACGATGATGCTAAGATGTTAAAACAGGCCTGTGTGGCTCCAATCCTGTATAATTTCCATTACACCACTTGTAAACCATGCCATTGAGACTGTGCTGTCTTCAGTGAAAGCTGGGACGCGTGCACGTTTTTAAAAAAAAGGAAGAAAGAAAAGTAAATCACCCCTCTCCCCCAAATTGTGCTAAGAGTATCCAAATACAAATTACCAGATTTTGGAAAGGCAGCAATTAGAAATTCTCTCAGAAATTATTCTTAGCCCTTAACAATGATGTTGAATGTTAGGGCTTGTTCTTAATTGAGGATTAATGTAAGAAAAGAGAAATAAAACACCAAGAGTATACTGCAAAGAGAGTTCTTGGGAAAAAGAGCAACTACTTAGGACAGTAGTACAAGCCATGCAATGAAGCTTAAACAAACAGAGCCAGGCAACACAAGGAACCCCATGGGCCGCAAACTCCAGCTGATGGCAAGTCCAGAAGGGGAGTGCCCAGGTATCACTGTCTACAGGCTTGAAAGTGCCAGTCCCAAGCTATGAGTGTCTCCTCTGGCATGGGAAATTTCACAACACATCTTTATTGCAGGCCAAGGCTGCTTGCATCATGTGGATTTATTGCCTTATGAAAATCTGCAATGTGAATGTTTACTGTTGCCACGGAATCTTCACATGGGGTCAAAATAACACACACCCATCATTGTGACATTTCCAAACAGGGATTGGAAATGGAGGCGCTTAATGTTATTTATTAAAACAAATCAAAAAGTCTCTTTTTTAGATACCTACGATGTTCAGGGGGAACTTAGCAATATGTACATGGCCTTATATAAGTTGAACATCAATCCATCAATCCTTTATTTCACCAATGAGTTAGTTGAGTAAAATGCCAGGCATTAAAGTGACTGCACCTCTTCAGTGAATAAGTCTTAAATGTGGGCAATGTCCGCACTTGCTCCTTAGGATGGATTCACAGGAAGTGCAATAGGCAGAAAGCCTTACTTGAAATTTCAGCACATCTTTTTCAATCCCTTTTCTCTCCACCCAAAGCCTTGATGGAGATGTTAAAGAACACAACGTATGAAAAACACACGGCACTTGCAGGTCTGGTTTTGTGTAAGTGACGTCTTGAGGATTCAGAACCAAACTGTCACCTTATGGGCAGAGGCTGGAATTCCTAAAATTACTCTCATTCATTCCAAAAGGCAAGGCACAGCAGACACTTCTTTGTCTTCAAACAGGAATCCAATTTTGTCTTTCAAAACCCCTACAAAGCTTCTTGATGTAATTAATGACCACCTATCCTACAGCTTTCTTTATCAAAGGGAACAACTTAACCTAAATTAATTATAGTTTGAAGTGCCAAGTGCATAGTTAATGGCTCAAATCAAAGTCATGTAGATGGAAAAGCCTCTTCCAAAACTATGCCAAGTCATGCTCCATATTAATGTTCAAAAACAATGCCTATCTGTACCATTAATGCACTCACTCCTAAACACTTTTATGCTCTGAAAGGATTCTGCAATAGTCAAACTACGATTGACATTAAGTCCAAAAGAATATTCAACTATAGCAATTAGCATCTTCCTAGAGACCAATTAATTATTCAGCATTCCCCACCTGCCTAGAAGCCCAGAGATACCTGTTTGTTCTCCAAATGGAAGCACTTGCTTAGCGCTCCCCCAGCGTGGAGAGGAATACAGATTCACTACCACTGTGTCTCTTGTGACACTGGAGAATAGATGCTCAAAGAGGATCAGATCAACACCACCCAACAGCCTGGCTGATACGAAGAAGCCCCAGAGAGATCACATCTAAACGAACTGTGGTATTTTTTTCTCCCTAAAGACAGTGGCCCAAAGGTAAATACTGTGACAGATCTCATTCAGCCATGGGTAACAGACCTAGGAAGGAAGAAAACAGGTTCTTATCAAAACTGAAAACAATATAAAATATTATATAATAATAATAATATATTTATATCATTTTCAATTTATTTCAATATCAATTTATTATTATATCATTATAACAAGTCATCGTAATCACAACAATAAAAGCACAATCATGTCCAGTGTTGTTGGGAAGGTTACCAATAGAGAATAATTTGGCTACATGTGATTTAAAAAAAACCCTTAGAGTCATTAAAACCTTGGACTCACCAATTCCACATCTGGGAAGCTCTTCCAGGAAAATCATTAACCATGTGGACAAAGATTTAGCTACAAGGATGTTTATCACAGAATTGTTTAAACTGTGAAAACGTAGAGAAAACCAGAATACCTCCAAATAAGGAAATAACTACAGGGATAAAACATCATATAGTACAATACCAGGCAAATTTTTAAGTGTAAAATCATGAACATATTCATACTTTATTAGGAAGTGAAAATTTAAGTAGCAAAATTATGCACTTCAATATAAATTAAATTTATACACCCAAACACAATCCATCTCAAATATCATACCCCAAAAGAATAAATATTGGTTATATTTGATAGGTGTGATTATAGGTGCCTGTTCTTTCTTATATTTCTGTTACAAACAAGTATTATTCTTCTTCATTAGAAAATTAATAGAAAGCTCTTAGGCACTTCACCAACATTCTACCACATGGGCCACTTTTAAAGGCATACTATTTTCAGAGGAGACAGATATTTTTTTCCCTAAAATTAACTCAAAGTCTCATTTCAAATATTTAACTCATGATAGAGCCATAAATAGCACTTTCTCTCTATAGAATACTTAAGAACAAATGATTGCGATGACTGACCACTTGTCAGAGGGTTTGATATACCAGTCAGCTTAATAATTCTTTCTACAGAATCCCTGCTCAAACAGACATTTCTCAATTTATCTACATTTGTGAGGTGTTTTCACCCAGAAATCCAACCTTAGTTGTGACATAATTTAAGGAATCAAATCCTTCTTTCAAAATAATAGTCCAGTGAAATCTTCAAATCAAAAGGGGGCTGGGAGAAAGATTGGGCATAAAATATTATTTTTATAAAGTTTTCAGGGAAAGCAGTACTTGAAACATTGCTTTCCAGTATGATGGAACACTTTAGTGTGGCATCATAGGGTATAGGCATTTACTTGTAAAAATTAAAGATGCATATGTTTGTATACATGTGTATATGTGCATAATTATGAATGCATAGAACAAAACAGAAAATTCAATTGTTGAAATTCACACTGTTGGTAGGCCCAGCAAATAGCAGTTGATGGCTCATTCACTTGTATGAGACATCAGAAAAAGTTCCTATTACTATTTCATAAAGCTTATTATGCAAAGTCCTTCAGATAGACTGACCTAGAACAACAAATGAAAACAAGAGTACCAATGAAAATGCAACACATTGTCAACGGGTGTCTTTCAGACACAGAAAATGCCTTCACACAGTGAAATCCACACCAGAAGGATTCAGCTCCATGAAAACAGCCATCATAGGCAGGCAGTTCACAATTACTGAGGTCCATTTTCTATCTATAATTCTTACTAATGACATGTACCTTTATGGTCATTCATCTGAAGAAATCAGGCTTATCATGAAATGATAACAGATCAGAGGAAGGCAGAGGAATAATGTCAACCTCAGCAAAAAATAGGATCCCTTCAGAAGTGCTGACAGAAGTGGAAAGGTCACCCATGCCCAAAACTTACCATTCCTTTTGATCTGATTGGGTTAAAACCGCATAGAGAGAACACCACCAGAGGAATAAAATGAAAGGAGCTGGAAAGAGAAGGTACAATTGTGAGCTGTCCTCATTCTTTTATGCTAGAAAATTAATGTACAGCAAGGATCTTGGCATCAATGTTAATTCTCCACACATACCCCAAAGGCCCCACAGAGATGTTTAATAGAATTTCTAATACCCTTCACTTTACTTGCTTACATTTTGAATTAGACTTGGAAAGAGGGATTAAAGTTAAAACTGGATTAAGGAATGCAAATGAAAACAAACCCTCCCCAAGGCATTAATTTTCCAGATACCATAGAAGTTTTTGTCAAGTCCAAAGTGAGAATGCTAAAATGGCCTTAAATCCGCAGAAATCCGCATCTTGCTTACGAAAGAAAAGGGGGGAAGGAATGTTTTTCACTTATCTTGTAATTAATCACTTGTATGCTTAAGTCAAAGAGAATAATTAAAGTTCCAAAAGAATTTCAGATCAGCTTTCATAGTATCTTTGCATCCCATGATTATAATTACCTGGACCACAAATATAATGAGCTTTCCATCCTTCTGGGAAATTATGATTCTTTGCATGTCTTTGGGACAAGTGATAGGCAGTGTTATCCAATCACCATGGCTTGAATATTACTGCAAAGGCACATGAATATTACTGAAAGGCCTCTTTCAATTCATTAACAATTTAAATTCACACCACCACTCAAGACATGAAAGGTATAAATTGAACATCTCAACAAAACTTCTCAGTCACTGAAATGAGCATGATGGATGAGAGTTAGACAGAAAATACAGGATTATAATTGGGAAGAGGAAATACAGGTATGGATGAAAATAAAATCAGGTACATATTAATTGTCTAGCAGTAGACATGAAACAGGGCCAAGCATATGTAGGTACTCAATAAATGCTCACTTAGTAATCGTATACTAGAAACAATTACTTTGCCATCTCTGGTTCTCTAACAGCACGCAAACAAATAACAGTCATCACTATTTGACTAGGTTCTAGTGAATTTGGAGTAGGAATGGGGAGGAAGTTAGTAAGAGCATTAGGCTATTTGCAACTCACAGTCCTACACAGAAGACTCCCTGACAACAATAATCAACAGACAAGAAGGATGAAGATGAGGCCACAGGAAGGGAAAGGCACCTAAGCCAGGGTGGCCTGTGAACACAGGAGGAATCCCCCACGGAGGGCCTGAGTGCAGACACGGAAGCTCAGAGAAAGTATATGAAGTACAATTCTGCCCACCCTCTGCAGAACGGTGAGAGTAACACAGTGACTTAACTGGCTAGAGATACCGGCGTAGTATCTGTGAATACCACATTATTTTCCTTTCTTGTACAGTCTTGTTTGAAACTCTGGCAAAATGCTGCACGAGGGAAGCAATTGAAAGTTGGCTGAGATGAAGTTCTGTGATTTCAATTAAAAACATTCTCTCACTTGCCACTTGCTACCGCTGGGGAAAACAAAAAAAACGGCAATGGCAAGGGTTTTTTTCGTATTGAACAATATTTCTGTTAAGCTTCAGAATGGTGAAAATCATTTATTGACATGCACAAGTAACTTCTGTTCAAGCTACACCAGGGCTCTGGTCCAATCCCTAGATTCTGGGAATAAGGCAAAATTTTCTGTAGCTTAATTCTACTGTTCTCATTTCCCAAGCAACCTCCACAAATTTGCATTTATATATCCAATGCCTGAAACCTCCCACAAATGCCTGCTCTCCCACACAGTTCGAATATTTATCACTTTTGCTAATATACATTCATTCTGCTTCAGAAGATACCAGGTCTAAAATTTCATTATTATTTTTTTTAAAACCCACCACTTTCACCATACAAAAAGAACTACCAAGATTGCTCTCCCCAAAAGGACAACATAGTTCTTAATTTTTCCCCATGGCACTAAATACTAAAGAATACAACAATAAAATCTCGGTGAGAGTTCTCTGACATGAATTAACGATAACTTTGCATATCTCAATAGCAGGGAATCATCACCCGGATTTGCTTCTGTCTACTGGGCACTCTCACAGGTTGTAGGATAGCAACACACAAACGCAAGGGAGGCACACAAGCTCAGGTGGAGAGGGCTCTTTCCCACATCTCTGAGCTTTGTGCTCCCGGAGAACTGGTCCCCGGACCACTGCTCCCTCCTCCAGGGTATCTAACAAGGACCAAAACCACAGACTGCCACCCAACTAAATGGAAGCCCAGCTTCGGAGAGTGGAATAAAAGCAAAAACAGAAAAAGGCAAGATGGCTCCTTTACAATGGAATTTCAAGCCAGGCAGGGAGACAGAGCCCACACACACTGACTTCAGAATACAAAGATAAATCCCTACCCTTGGCTCTGTGCAAGCACACCCCCTACAGAGGCATTCATTCCTGCTGGGAATGCATCCCTGCTTGGGGAGCACCCAAGGGCCTGCTGGAGTCTGCAAGCAGAAGGGCTGAGTTCAAGCTGGGAATAAACAGAAGGAGTGCAGGCTCCCTTACCTGTACCAGCCTGCGGCTCCCTCCCCCTTATTCTGATTAGGGACAGGCAGCCAGGGCTCCCCAAGCAAGTCTGCAGAGGGGCGGGGCACCTGACTTTCTGCTCACACCTGAGTGCAAGAAACAGCATGCTCCCCCACCAGGGAGCCACTGTGGGAGAAGACCCAGGCTCGGGGCCAGCAGCATTGACCTTCAACATCTCCATTAACCTCAGGGACAGGTGAGAAGACTAAAGTTGCCCTAAAGGGCTTTAACAGAATCAGAAATTAAAGATCAAAGGCAGAGAACAAAAGAGGTGGTGGGTGTCACTAAAGGGCTGGAACACCATAGGGCCAGTTGAGTAAAAAGAGCCGTGAAATTTGTCCACATGCAGCCAGGGAGTCTTAGCTTCATGTCTAAGGGTGGTACAGAAGCAGTGGACAGAGCTCAGGCTATGGGGCCTGCCTGGGTTTGTATTCTGCCTCTGCCACCTCCAAGTTGGGTATGACCCTGGGCAAGTCACTTCCCCACTTTAGGATACAGTTTCCTCACCTACAAAATAGGGATAATAGCTATGCCTCCCTCATACGGCAGAGTGAGAATTAAATTCCTAACCCACAAAAAGCATTCATGAAATGCCATTATGAACTATATTACAACTCAGGAGAACACACATAAACACACACACACACACACACACACTTTCTCCAGATATCAGTTTCTTGAGAGGAAAGAAGGTACTTTCTGAAAGGTTTTTGTTTTCACTCCTTGCTCACTGGATTGCTTTCATCAAAGTTTTTATAAATGGCCTGGCTTCCAATTTGCCTAAAATCAGGCACAGAAAATAACTTTAAATTCCTTGAAACCATGTAAATCTAGAGAATTAGAAAGGAGTATCTCTCTATCCCCCTTATGTATTTCACCCATCATCCCACCCCTCTCCCCTGTGTCAACCACCAGTCTGTTGTCTGTGTTGACCTGTCTCTTTCTCTTCTGTTCATTCATTTTATTTTGTAAGTGACATCATATGGTACTTGTCGTTCTCTCTCTCTGACTTATTTGTCTGAGTATAATCCCCTCTACTTCCATCCATATTGTTGCAAGTAGCCAGATTTCATTCTTTTTTTATGGCTGAATAATACCCCATCATTGTATATATATATATACACCACATCTTCTTCATCCATTCATCTATAGCGGGACACGTTGGTTGCTTCTATATTGTGACTGTAAGACTGCCATAAACACAGGGGTCCATGTATCTTTTCAAATCAGTGATTTGTTTTCTTCAGGTGGTTACCCATAAGTGGAATTACTAAGTTGCATGGTATTTCTATTTTAATTTTTTGAGAAACCTCCCTACTGTCTTCCACTGTAGCTGCACCAATTAACATTCCCACCAACAGTGCAGGAGGGTTCCAGTTTTCTCCACATTCTCACTAACACTTGTTATTTCTTGTATTTTTGATACTAGCCATTCTTACCAGTGTGAAGTGATACCTCATTGTGATTTTCATTTGCATTTCCCTCATGATTAGTGATGTGGAGCATCTTTCATGTGCCCGTTGGCCATCTTTACATCTTCTTTGGAAAATGTCTATTCAGATCCCCCACCCATTTTTAACTGGATTGTTTGGGGATATATATAAAGTTGTGAACGTTCTTTATTTATTTTGGATGCTGACCCTTTATCAGATGTATGATTTGCAAACATATTCTCCATTCAGTAGGTGGCCTTTCTGTTTTGTGGATGGTTTCCTTTGCTGCACAAAAGCTTTTTGGTTTAATATAGTCCCACCTGTTTATTTTTGGTTTTGTTTCCCCGGGGAGACAATTCCAGAAAAAATTTTACTGATTCTGATGTTCAAGAATTCACTGCCTATGTTTTCTTTTAGCAGTTTTGTTGTGTCGGGTCTTACTTGAACATGTATTTTACATTCCCTAGTAATGGAGAGGTATGTCATTCTCCCTGAAAATATGCTGTTGTCATGAAGGCACAAGTTGAAAGGATCGTATCTAACAATGAAGAGAATATATTACTTGAAGCAGCACTAAACTAGGAAAGGGAGTCTAAAATTAATTCCTGGATGGGAGAGCTCAAGGTGGGTCAGAAGAGCACATAAAGGCTTCATAAAGAAGAGAGCTGACTAAGGGTGGGACTTGAAAAGGCTTTAGGGTTAGGCAGGCAGAGAGCAGCACGGAAAGGTCGCAGCCCAGGCTGAAGGAGAGCAGGAAGACAGGCCGGCGGTGACTCAAGGTATATGCCCCAGGAGAGGCGCCGTCATCTCTATGGAGGGGACCATTCCCGCAGGCTTCCAGCCCATTCCTGCCCTCCTTGGTGCCCACAAAAGTCAATGCTTTCACTAACTCCAAGGGGAATGCCAAAGGCAAGAAACATTTAAATGCAATGTAAGCAAAGCCCATGGCTTCCCTAGTAAGTTTTAAAAAGGACAACTTGACAGTGTACTTCTGCACCTGAACTGTAGTGACAAAAATGAGATTTCCCTATTGTCTCTATCACTGATATACAAATTCAGTGAGAAAAAGCTTGCCACTTGTTTACTTAAAACAACAAAAAACAAAACAAAAAACACCAGAACAAGCTTCATTGGGTGAAGGTTAAGAATTTCTAAAAAGAAGTAGCTGAATTACAAAAATAACATCAGTTCTACTCTGCTGCCTAACGATAGGCCTTAATTAGATTTTTCAAATTGCTAAGACTATGACTACTTACTTACTTTTGGTTTCAGATATGACACGAAAAATAATATTTTAAATAATACACACTTTGCATATGTTATTCTCCCCACGATCCTTCAGACAGCCTTAGTGGGTGGTCATCACTATCTTGCCATCAACTGAGGCCTGGCGAGGTAAACACATTTACGCTCCAAAAGTCCTACAGGTGGCCAGCGACAGAAGTGAGACTGAAGCTCAGGCCTCTGGTGCCATCTCCTTTGGAGCTCACCACCTGCTAAGTGTTTCCACCCCCACTGCCTGCCTATATCTTACAACAACAACTCAGTGAGTAAAGTTTTGGCTACTAAAACATACGCAAATTTGAAAGCAAAGAGGACACACTAAAAGCAAAAGCACACATTGTTTTAATATCTAGAACATTCTGCCCTCCAGAAATGGCTGACCAAAATCTTTCAGGTTGAAATCTTCTGTAGATTTGCTGTTTCGCACTGCCCAGCCCTGAATCCTCATTTAGAGTCACCATTAATCCCTCTGAGTAGCTTTGTTTTAATGTCTTTTGTGCCTAATTTTGAGCTATTTCTTCTCTACCTAATTACCTTCCACAAACACCCAGTGGCTTTTTCACACTTGTCCCTGCCTCAGGGACTTGACACTTGCCATGCTCTCTGCAGGAAACTCTTTCCCTAATATCCATATGCTGGGCTTGGCCCTATATTCATATCTCAACCTGAATATCACCTCCTTCAAGAAGATTACCAAGAATACCCTGTCACATGTTACCCCAACCTACTACCCTCAGCCACTTTCCCTGTTTTATTTTCTCTCTAGTGTTAATCACTATCTACGATTCTTATTCACTGGGCATGCAAACTCCATATAAGCATGACTTTGAAAAGGAGAGGAAAAAGAATCAAAGTTAACACAGAATAAATACACCAGATGCCACACATATCATAAACAAACACACCCTGAAGGAAAAATCCTTGTAAATAAATCCAAAATATCAAAAGAGACCGAATACTGAATATTCTGCGGACTCACATATAGCACACAATAAGAGACATTTAAAGGTGACTCACACAGAAAATATCCACCAAACAACACCAACCTCTTCTTCCTGCTATTGGACCCTCTGCCCTCCGCCGATATTGTCCACAACCATCCTTAATGTTTCTAAAATGAACACCTTCTTGACTGTGGCTGCCAATTATCTCCTATATTGCTCCCTCTATGAAATCAACTAAGAAAAAACTGATAACTAAGCTGTCCAATATAAAGTATATCTGGGCTTCCCGCCAAATTCCCCCTCCAGAAAATTTGGTTTAGTCTGTCCAAGAGACTCCTCAGGGGAACTTTCCAGCATGCACCTTGGTGAGCAACCATAATGATGATTCACAGGCCTCTCTCTCATTTCCGTCTGCCACACAGTGGGGCTGAAACACACAACTTTGCTCCTGCCCAGCCTGTTATGTTGATGCAGATCAATTTTTTAATAAAAGTGGTAAGTTTATGGCTTTAAAATATAGAGGATGACTTCC